TACAACCGGCATAGGCTCCTCCTCCGCCGGCTCCAACTCCACCGCCTCCACCGGATCCTCCTCCATGTGCCCCTCTGCACCGGCACCGGCACCTTCACCGCTTCCATATCCGCCACCTGATGCTCCTCCTGTTCCCCCTGCAGAACCACCTCCACCACCACCTCCGTGGCAGCCTCCACCACCATATCCACCGCCTGAAGCACCACCAGCTACGTAGCCACTGCCACCTCCTGCTCTTTCACCTCCACCATATCCACCACCAGGTGCTCCACCTGCCGTAGCTCCACCACCACTGCTACCTCCACCGCCTCCACCAGTATATCTACCTCCTGGCTCCCCTCCAGCGCCATATCCGCTGCCACCACCTTCACCAGCACCACTTCCTCCGGCATAACCACCATGGTCACCCGCTACAGCTCCACCTCCACCTGAACCTCCTCCACCGCCACCAGCATAGGCGCCAACGTTGGCTCCAACAGCAACATCAAGATCGATGAGGGTTCTTGCGGTTGCACATATTCCTATACCCAATAACAGAAAGAAGACAATGTTAAGAACTATATATACACTTTGCCATAGCTAGTTATACAGTTGAATATATCCTACAACCACGACTTAAGAAAGCATGGACTAAAAAACTATTTATATATGTTTCGAAGGATAGGAAAAGCGCGCGTATGCGAAAAGGCACATATATAAAGAGCATAGGAGAAGAGGTACATTAGTCCCCACAAGGCGGTCCAATATAATCCACCAACACTATCACAAGTTTGTTTTCATTTCATTTCAATTCGCTAGTCCTAGTAGACTTGCTAGTGTGCTTCTGCTGTCTCCCATATTCTATATGTATACCGAACAAATATAACAGATGGCAACTCCGTTTTTTTTTTTCTTAATACTTCTGGTTTGGTCCAATTCAGTTTCATACAGTAGTTCACCATATTTGTTGAATTTTACTGAAATAATTTAATTTAATTTAATTTAATTTAGTATTAGGGTAGGATCACATTTTCTTATTATTAACGTACGCGTGGATAAAGAGTGTGTGCTATTTGTTTACCCTAAAAATCGAGTTACAATTAAACTTGTATGTTGTTTTAAAGATACATGATTTTACTTAATATCAATTGATTAATTCAGAGATAAGTGTTGAAATTGACAAGAATATAAAAACGATATTTGGAAAATCTCGGTCACTCAAGAACTCTCGAATATGACATTTGTTGAATAAACGAGCTATCTCATCCCTTAGTTGTCTGCACTCTTCTGTTCTGTGACCATGGGTTCCATGGTACTTGCATGTTAGATTTTGATTCCTTTGAGCAGGATCAGTCTGTAGGGGTCGAGGCCGCCTAGTATCTTTGATTTGCCCAATGGCTAACACAATACTTGAAGCATCGATGCTGAAGCTATACTCCGATAATCGTGCGCTTCTTTGGGCTCAACATGATTATCAAAGCCACTCTTACTCATAAGCCCTCGGGAATTCTGATCTAGATCATTCCTTCGATCATTGCGAATGGGATTACGTCCTGATACGTTGTTCCTACGATCTGCACTATAAGTTTGGTACCGATCTCTGTTTCATCGGGGCTCTCTATCGAGGTCCCTTCGAATCTTGCCTTCGGATCTATTTGGATAAACGGAACCGGATGGGGCTCCTAACTGATCATCCTCGACTCTGATTTTGGACCAGTACCGATTATGCACACCAGCCCAGGTCATCACTGGATATTCAATTAAATTATGTTTCAGTGGACGTGATGCTACTGAACTTTGCTCGTGCAGAGGCTGAGTAAAGGCTTGGACAACCCAATCATCGATAACCGGGGGTAAGTCCATGCGTTCCATCTAAAATCGAGATACAAATAGCCTTAGCACTTCATTGTCCTTTTGTCTAATTTTGAAGAGGTCCGACTTCCTAGTCACAACTTTATTGCTCCGGCGTGTGCCTTTATGAACAAATCGACGAGCATGGTGAAGAATCGATGGAATTGGGCGGAAAATTATGGTACCATATCATTGCCCCTTTGACAAAGTTTCTCCAAATATTTTTAGCAAAAGGTATTCAATCTCATCATCTTTAAGTCATTTGCCTTTATCTTACATATGTACGAAGTGATCTGTTCATTCGGATCGATAGTCCCATTGTACTTGGGGATGTCCGGAATACGAAACTTCTTAGGAATGGGATTTAGAGCCGCACTTTGAGGAAAATGCTTTTGCACGAATTTCTTCGAAGCCAAACCCTTTAGGATCGTGGGTTTCCTCGGTATTTGGTCAACTCGTATGTTGTACGTTTCTACTTTTTTGTCATTAGCCTCTATTTTATTTTCACATGATTTTATCCATTTCGTGGGCTCCTTGAGATCTTCATAACGACGGGATCGGTCCCAAATCCATTATTGTTCAATTTCTCCTGTATCGGTTCGACCTAATGAACAACTTCCTACGATGTATCGAGCTCAATTCTGCTTGGTGCCCGATTCTAGAGTTGTGTTATTGCAGCCTCCTCAGTTTGTAACATTTCATATATCATTCGAAGGCTAATCCCGCCTTCTTCACCGCTCTATGCATTCTGATCGGCTGCCCGGGCGTCTTTGCGGACGCTATTTTCAGGGTCGGCTCCTAAATTTTCATGGTTCGCAGCATGAGAATTGACATCGATTGAATTTACAGCCTGTGATCCATCGGGGTTGACTGGAGGTACTTCGTTTCCCAGGGCGACTACGTGCACGTTTTTGCAATGAAGACCAAGGCTGGTGTCAGTGTGTGTAGGTACTGCTTGAGAGTTTGACATGTTGATTCCTGAAATAAAAAATACTCACAAGAACAAGAGTAAAGGTAGTGTGAGTTATGAAGGCTAAAATATTAAGCAGTCATTATTATCCTTAGCTCCACGGTGGGCGCGAAAATGTTTACCCTACAAATTGAGTAACAATTAAACCTGTAATGTGATTTTAAGGATACGTGATTTCACTTAATACCAATTGATTAATTTAGAGATAAGTAATGAAATTGATAAGAATATAAAACAAACCGATATTTGGACAGCATCCTCGATCTTGATAAACCCTCAAGAATAGTAAAGCAAGAACAGTTGAAGAACAATAATTAAATAGCAGTAAGCTGATGAGCAGAAGAAAGAAATATTATATTGGCTTGATCTATATGAATGTCAGAGCCCCTACAAATGATGGGGATCCCTCTTTATATACTAGAGGAATCATAATTGATGTTTAATTCTAATTACGGATGTAAATCTCATGATTTATACAAATAACCGCCCTTGATTTGATCCGTTCTAAGATGTTCGCCGTGATCTACGACCGGTTACGAATATTTCGTCTTTCCATTATTGTTCAGGTCTGATCTATTATGAGGCTGACCCTGACGCATATCTCTGACCTCGAAATAATGATAAAATCGGGCAAGCCCGTATACACTATTGCAAAGAAGAAAAGAAACACTAAACTACACTATGGGTGATTAATTACTTTAAGTTGCTTTTCAAGGTTTTACCCCTCCCCTTGTGCATCCGATCCTCCATTTGAGGTGTATTTGTGAACTTATTTTTAATTTTTAAATCTGTTTCAGCGGAAGCGATGCATATTTTCCGGTCAAGAAGCGATTGAATCCTACATGCTAATGTGAAATCAAGCATTAATCAGGCAGGTTATTTTGGTTTTGATAAATCAAGTATATTAGGTTGATTCAAGTTGGATAACGGAGATCTGTAACTTTCAACATTAGGAAAAATTAAATTATGAGGTAATTTTTTATTGGGATATCTAGGATTAAATTAATTGATCTAGATTGATTTGATTACAAGGATTAGCACATAGACGTGAGAAAGTTACAACTCTAAGAGATAAAATAGGAAATAGAGGAATGATTTCAATTACATCCACCAATACAAAGTTGTGGATTTTGATTGCTAAATGTGGATGCTTAGACCACTATATCTGCAGTAAAGGCTGCTGGTCTGCTGTATGGTATCCACAATCATATTGAATAATACGTATGAATGTAATTTCCAACTAAATGCAGCGGAGTAATTCTTCCTATTTGTTTTCGTTATGCCCATTGGGTTGAAGATGATCACACAGTGCAGAAAATCAAAGGAAGACATAAATATATGTTACTAATTCAGTTAAGAGAGTTATACTGAAAACCGATGAAAATTATTTAGCGTATAGAATAAAACACTAAATTAAATTTACTGGTGAAAATTTAAGTAAAGAACTATAGTATTAGATTGAACTTATTCCGTTGTTGTTTACCTTGAAAATACGAGTAACAATTAAATTTGATTTGTTATTTTAAAGGTACGTGATTCAGTTCAATACCGATTAATAATCAAAAAGTATAAAGTATAAATGTGAAAAATGAATGAATCAATCAAGTATTACTTAAGTAGTATCGACCTTGAGCCTAGTGACCTCGAGATTGATTAAGAACAATAAGGCAAGAACAAAAAAGTAAAAGCAACAGAGCTAAAGGACAGTTCTGATGAACAATGAGCGAGAAAACTTGGATAGTATATACTTTGCCAATGATTAGATGATCTTTACAAAATGATTGGGGTTCGCTTTATACAATAGAGGAAACCCTAAATAAGGTACATTTCCATTACAGTGTTGGGACAACTGTATAACTGCCTAGTACGGATTAGTACTGATTTGTACACACCAATTCCAGAATTTACGCCATGATCTTGGAGACGTGAGGGGAATCTTGTCCTTCTTTTAACAAACTCATAACGGCGCTGTCTCGGAGCTGGTCGTGGTTGGCTGCGATGTTCCTCGCGTACTTCGATCCTCGAGCATTACATTCTGTCTTCAAGCTCGAGTCTAGTCAATCGAGCTCGAACTCGACCTTACCGGAACTCGGGCCTAAAGCGACCCCTCGAGCCCGGAATATCGGGCATACCTGATTTCGATCGTATACAGATAGTCCTCGCATTTCTTAGAGTTAGTCTATAAGAAACGATTTGATCTTCGATGCTCTGACGCCTTGATCCTGATGTCAATCTCGTGATGTCAACGAATGAAGTGACTGAAAGGTCCCTTTCGTTCAGTTCCCAAAGTCATTAATTGGAGGTGGCTGACGGTCGGCAATTTGGATTCCCCACTACGCTTAAGTGACCTCTATAAATAGTCCAACTTCACAATTTTACAAGCTTTACTTCTCATATTGTTCTAAAAATTTCATTAGCTCCTTCAATTTTCCTGAGTTCACCCTTCTCTCAATTAGTTCATACTTCATCATCAACTCTTTCTCTTCTCTTGAATATCTAAACAATAATGGCTAAAAGAGCTAAAACTGTTCCCCAAATAGAAAAAGCCTCTTCATCATCACGGCCGACCAGAAGTAAAACGGAGGTGCCACCTTGCATCTAGGAGTGTATTCCCCTGCCATGCGAAATAACATCTGATTTCAAGATTGATAAACCTGCGTCGACACCAGGACGATGGGATCCTATATATCAATACATGTGCTTGATAACTGAAAGTGAGCTCGAGCAGGTGAAAAAGGACTACAACTGGGATAACAAAGATATGGTTATCCCTTCCCCTTAAGAGGACATCACCACTCATAAGGCAGGGTACTTAAACGTGTACACCTAACCATTCACGCTAGGTCCTGTAGATTCATCTCTGGGTCCATAGATCCAGTTATTCTTGATTTTTGCCAATAATACTATGTAACGCTTAGCCAGACCTATCTTTCATTTGGGCACATCATCAATCTGATCAGATACTTCTCGAGCCACGTCGAGGGGATGCCTTTTACCCTCAACCATCTGATCAGGCTATACAGCCCTTGTCTTTATCGTGGTGGCCTGATAAAGCTGCAATGCCAATCCACGAAATCTCTCTTCTCCAGCATCGATGAGGACAAGGACCAACAATGGATGAGCCAGTTGGTCCAAATCAGGACCTCCGACCTGATTCATCCTGAGAGCATGCCATTCCCCAAGGACTAGAACATGAAACATGAGTACATGTTAATTGATAATGACTTTATATTCCGCTTTCCCTACTCCTTCTCGACCTAATCCTTTTCTGATAGTGTAGTTGTTGCTTTATTTCCTGGTGCGGTCCCAGACCTCGAGGGTTGGTGATACGCCCCGCAATATTATGTCGATATTACATTCGGCATTATTATATTACGACAATGTTATGTTCTGCAATAATATATTACGATGATTTTACCCTATGCAGTAATATATTACGATGGTGTTATGTCCTACAATAATATATTACGATTGATGTTACGTCCTACAGTATTAAGTTACGACAGTGTTATACCCAATAATATTACATTACGGTGATGTTACGCTTCGTAGTAATAAGTTACGACGATGTTGCACCTGCAGTAATGTACGTTGAATTTTTTGTAAGGTAATTGGCATCAGTCCAAAGAAAAGATTATTTGGGGACTATAAGGATTATAAGTGATGGGTAAACTCTTGAAGCTAAGAGGGTAAGTAATTTCGAAAAAAATAAATTTTGTCGAAGTTTGGCATGTTGGGGTAAAATACAGCTCGAGCTAAAATACCCGGTATTTATGGACTAGTTCCATACAAGGTACTACATGGCCATGATAGTAAGGTGTATAAGGTATATGAAAAGTGAGTAATATTCTAAGTAATTGTGGTAATTTTTAAATTATACGGGTAATAGATTAATTACCGGGTAACGAATTATTACCCGGTTAACTAATAAGTGGATATGTTTTTGGATAATTAAGCATGATGTGGCAGCCATATAAACCCAACATGATGGCTATTCACTTATATACCATGTGGCATGTGTAGAGGAGTTGGTGACTTACAAGGATAATTA